ATCCTGTTTCCCCTCAGGGAGTGTTTGAATTTTGGAACCAATGAACACCAGCAAGCAGATAAAACATAGTTAAGCCTCATAAAAAGGATTGAGTAGATCCTTCGCCGACAGCAAACAGATTTTATTTATACATGTAGAGAAGGTGTTATTCTGTTTAAAGATTTTGCTGATATTCAATAGTGATAGAAAATAAAAGTTGTTTCCACACTTGGCTGGTCTCGAAAACATTTTCCGAGTCCACCTTACCCAGTGACTGAGACAAGGCCGAGTCAAAATGATGTTAACCATTAATGTATGGTCTCGAGAACAATCTCAGGACCAAGACCAGACTGGAGTACTACAGCACTACGCCAGAGAGAATTTTCTGACATTCCTAGTTTGGTATTTGAAATTTTATACTGGAACCACAGGGTTAATGTAATTTAACCCAATTAATGGAAGCTTATACCCCACCAGCATTGCACAAACTGCAGGCCTACATTTCCACACACTTGGCTTAAAATACATTGAGTTGTTGAGTAATCTCAAACCTGCTTATGTGGTTTCTGACACTGTATGATAGTGAGATTTAAGCTTCAGTTAGATATGTTAGCCTTGCAACTCCAGTGAAAATATGAAAAAAACTTTAGACAGTGAACATGTCCTGGCTACATTTGTGGTAAGGGTAAAAAAAGGGGTACATTTGAGTTTTCACTGAACCACCATAGTGGGGTGGTGCATGTTGACAGAGTCCAACCTCCAGTAGATTGGCCGTCTTTTCCTGTCATGTTGGCCTGCATGTGCCATGCTGTCTCTAGTCATCTAGCTCACAGTCCTGGCTTTTTACGCCTGCCTGTCCTAGTGAACTGATTCATCATGGCACTGGTTTTCCACACTCCGCTGCCACTGCTTAACCAGGGCAGGCATAGCATGCCACGAGAATCAGACATTTGAACATATGAGCTGCCACATTAGACACACATACAGCCCAGCGGTCATGTTTGGATTCGTTCTGTCAGATCGGGCTATAGCAACTCATGTCAGATGCAAAAAATTGTGGATGGGGAAGCTTTAGATCGCATCCTCGAGCTCAGAGTGAAGCGTTAAGATTTAAACCGTTGGGGAGTGAGTGCATGATGGCAGTATGTTAGTCACAGCTACTAGGAGTCGTCAATATGATGATATTTTATCATGATAAATTATGTCACAGTGTGTTTTTCTGAGCATATTGTGTATATCGAATACTGACCAGCTGCCTGTTTCATTACTAAGAGAGCATAATTAGTCCTGTTTAATTGAATTTAGTGTGGTGCAGTATGTGAAACATTGAATGAAAATCATTGCATCCCTAAAGATCACTAAAGCAATGAGGAAGCAGGGAGAATCAGCATGAATAATGAGTTAAAATAACCTTTTTAACAAAGACTGTTTGTTATTTTTTGTACAAAAATATCCAGCCACAAGTGGCTCTGTGGTCAGAAACTGTTGATAAAGTAATAGAGGACGGCAGTACACAAGTACACAGCAGATGGCCTACATGGCTATAACCATACACAAAGCTTGGGGTTTCTGATAAAGTGGCCAGGGAGTGCATTGATAATGAAAACTTGAATTAAATAAGAGAGTATTGAAATGGCCAGGTTTCTCAAAGGCATATTATTATATGATGATTCTTAAATGGTAGAGTGAGCATCACAGTGAACACTCTCTCTACCAGTTAACATCATCTTAACACTAAGAAACTTTTGGTAAACTTCGCCCTGCTTTAACATATGTATGTTATCTTTAACAAATGAGGTTTTTAACATGAAGGACACTTTTTAACCTATTTACCCCATAAAATCTCAGGCTTGTTACATACTAAGGCTTATGTTACAGCAACTACAGGGACTTAAGTGCAAACTGGCTGAGCTGTTCTCTATTCTAACAAGTAAAGATAAAATGCAACTGTGTTACAGTCGTATGCAGAAATTTGGTCAAGAGATTTTTTAAGTGAATATAAGTTTACACATCCTCTACAGAGAACACATTTCTGCACATTGTAATGCACAACTACGGTTTATTTGGTGAATTTAACATTGAAAAAAGAATAATAATGTGGCCTGTGCAAAAGATATGGCACATTTGATGTTATATATCATTTTAAATCACATATATAGACGTTTTTCAGTTTTTGACATAATTTCAAAATGCCTGTTGCCCTCGTCAATGTGTGTAAATTACATGATTAATAGACCAAAAGAAACAGCCAAAAATTACTTGTAAAAAATTCTGGTTCCATTAACTTACATTAAAAGTAGAGTATGTTTTTTTTCTTTCTCCTGTAAAGTTACCATTTTGGAAATACGAGGTTTTGTTCCGACATATTTGTTTTCCAATATGTTACACTCCACAAATACATAGACATTGTGCACTTTTGTGCAAGATCTACAGATAATGCCACGTGTTTGTTCCTTATTAGCCACATATTTGTTCCTTGTACATGTTTGTAACTTATTTTCACTTAGAAAATCAACAAAGCATGTCATTTGACTGGACATGTTCCTATCGATGTGTTTTCCTGTTCAGAAGGGTAGTTTTGAACTAAATAAATATCTAGGTATTTTCAGCTTTGTTAGAACAGGTTTCGTTACAAATAAAATAGATGTAAAAAAAACAGCACAAATAAATTATGCTATTAAAAGAGAAGAGTAGATTTAATGGCAGATATTGAGTACAGTTTGCAAGAAAGAAGTGTAGGTTGTCATAAGCAAGCAACGTATGGGTTTCTAATAAAGTGGCACTTTTGTGTTTATCCTGCTGTGAAGGCAGGTTGAGGTGTTGCATCTTAATTGTCTGGTTGTGTGTGTGCTTGTGTGAAAAGCTCAGGTCTCTAAGGCTTCCATCCCATGATTAGCTGCGAGAACAGCGTGATGTTGCTGTCTCAGGAGGGACCCGTGGGTCTCTAAGGCCTTTGAAACATAGACCGTGCTTCACGCCCGGCTTCCATCTTGTGATTAGCGGTGAGAATAATGTAGTAATGTTGCTGTCTCAGGAGAGGGGTGTTTGCGAGTGTGTGCGCGTGTGCTTCTCGGGTTAATCAGTAGATTAACACTCGGCCTGTGTGTACCGCACGCACCATCGACTGATTGACGCCTTGTTTCCTCGACTAGGGCCCGAGGCGTAGCTGTAGTCATTTGTAACACAAACCAGGTGCCTCGTGGGAAAGCATGGCAAGTGTGTCGAGATTACAGGTGAAGTTCCATTCAGCACCTGTCACCTGTCACCTTTCTCCATGTGTAAGCCCCACCCATTAGGACTCGTGGGCCACGCTAGCTGTCAATCAGCACCGTTAGCATCCATCAGCTCGATACGGTTTGGCCTCGGCTAATTAAGCACTGCTGCTCCTGCTGGAGGGTTCTGATGAGGATCTGTCATAGTGAATAATGGGGCTGTCCTGGAGAGGGAAGAGCGGGGTCCGAGCTTTAGAGCCCCCTTCCCCCTTTTCCATAGTATCCCACTGCTGCAGGATTAATGATGCCATTACTGTGATTTATATCTGTGTGGCTTCCTGGAGGAGTAACCTTTTTTTGTTTTTCACTAGACAGTGTTATAGTGAAGTCGTCCCAGTCCCAGCCCTGATGAACCCCTTCCCTGCGTATTTTTGTTTTTTCTTTGCTTAACCACCTGATACAACTAATTAGCTAATTAACACATTAACAAGGCCTTTGTGAATTAAGGTGGTGTATAAGAGCAGGGGAATAGTCTAATATGTGCAGGACAAGGGGCTACTCCAGGACCCAGATTGGGAAACACTGTTATTCTGGCAGGCGATCTGATAATGTGTTTTCGGCATAGTTAGGCAAGCACTGATATGGGAATTATGGGTCAATAACAATATCCGATAAGGTTTCCGTCTTCAAGCTCCACTCTTGCTTCAAATCTGAAAAAATCTGTGTGAGGACTCACCACTGTGGATCTGAAAGGATGTGTACAAAAGTAAATAGTGGAGCTGCTGGTGTTTGCAGAGCATGCACTGGCCACACCAGTCCAGAGTCCAGAAGTCAACATCACTGATTGTGTTTAGGATCACTCGGATCACGAAAAGCCGAATATAAAACCAACTTCTAAGACTGAACTTTGGAGGTGTGGAAAAATATCCTGCAGATTTCTTTGAAAAATTGAGGCTCTTGAGAAAAATGAAAGCTGTACTAAAGGCAAAATGTGGACACACTAAGCACTGAAAGCAGTGATAATATTCTTTTTTTTTCCTAAAGCTGAAAATGAGTTGTGCTTAATGACCATTTTCATATGAAATGTACTAAATGGAGAGTGGTCTATGACTTTTGCTTATAGCACATGAATTATTTTTAACTTATTTTAAATAACAAGTTATTTTGCATGTAACATAAATATGATACAATTTTCCAAATCTTTCATGGTTATTGTCAGTATTTCTTGAATAACTACATGTATCATAAAAAGACATATTTAAATATTGTAGAGAGCCTGTAAACAACAACCAGTCTACAGTAACTACATAATAGATCTGGCTAATATGGCAAAAATGTAATATCACGATAGAAAGAAGTGTTTACAACACACAGTATTTATTTTTTTCAGACATCTGAAGTTGGAACAGACAAAGTAGTGCCAAATTAAAAAATGCTATCAAAAACAATGAATCCAGTGATTTGTATTCAACGTTTCACACATTGCTGCACTAAATCTAATTAAACAGGTCTAATTAAAGTCTCTGTGTAGTCGTAGATGCAGTTGGGAAGTGGTTTTTAAGCTAAAGATGTCCACTATATACTGAAAAAGGCATACTGTGACATAATTTATCACGATAATGATAAATGTTCTAATGCTGGCCAGCCCTTACTACATAAACTGCATAAATAACTGATTGATGCTCGCTCATTGTGCCAGCTTATCATGTAAATGACTTCAGGTATCAGATAACAACATTATTTCTTTGCCAAATCGCTCACCCATAGTGGTAATTGAGTTGTTTTTCTCTTCTCTTTTACTATCCACAGGCAAGCCGGTGATGATAATAACGGAGTACATGGAGAACGGATCCTTGGATACCTTCTTAAAGGTGAGTAGTGTTTGATTTCGAAACCCAAAGCATCAGTCTGGCCCAGAGCTGGAGCAAAGATACTCTGCTCAGGCTTTAATTGCCTTAGGGAAATTCCAGAGCACGCGAGCGAACGTTGCTCAAGGGGACGACCCGGGACACTTGCCCTGAAAGTCTGTTACTGTGAGGAAATTAAGCAGAGAATAGATGCCTGCAGGAGACGACACTGCTTCATTCGCCTCATGGCCCTCGAGGGCAGCTCCTTTCCTGTTCGAGTGCGTGCACGAGAGAGATATTATGAAGACTACAGCCCAGCGCAGGGCTAGAGAGTGAATGAAGTCTGTAGATTTATAACGAAGCTAACGCTCCCTCCACAAATCTGTCCAAACATCTCGCGCACATTGGCCTCGGATTTATTAGCGCCTTTGTCACCTCGGACGGATGAGCCTCGTAATTTTATTACACGCCGGACAGATACGTTTTGCCTCTAAGTGGACGCCCGCTTTAATTGCCCACACTTTGAGCAAATGAAAATGAAATTTGGCCCCGAAAAAAAGGCCTGTCTGAAATTTTTTCGATCTTTCCTCAGGGTAATGAATGCCATAAATACGCCTTTAGCCCACATAAAAAAAGCTAACATAATTATGAGTTGATTTTTACGGCTAATATCTCATAGCCCCTCCGCCTGGGCTACATGTGTTTAATTAGAGCGTGGATCAATTTAGCAAAAACAAGCCCCCCACACTGTCGCTGGCTCTCTGTTCTTACAGTAAGCACTGCGGCTAGATTGATAACCAAACTCTGCCGGTTGATCCGGCCGAGCAATCAATCAGCAAGCTGCTTTTCATAAAACGAGGCATAATTAACTCTCCTCCCACAGAGCACGTGAAATACAAGTCCGCGGTTGGGATTGATATTGCTCGGAGGAACAAAAGAGGCGTTTTAACAAGATGAGTTCACTAGCGCGATATGCAGATTGAGACATCAGGCTAATTGCTCGTAGCTCGGGTTGTTTTAGTGCTAAAGGCAATGTCTGGACCCTTTTGTGTTTCCTTACAAAAGCACCAAAAACAGATGCTTTTACATCAATAAACTCCTATAAGAACTACGGGCGTTACAACAGGACAGGCAGTAAAGTCTTAGGTCCAAGTCTTTTGCATAATAAACAGCAACGTCAATGTCCAGTTTAGCCATCATCCTGTGCAAATAGTAGATACACTTAATGTTATTTTTTTTTCAATAGACAACAGACAGTAGTATATTCAATAACATAAACACAAGGGTTTGTCTAAAGATCAGCAGCAATAGTGTTCAAGCCATTATAAATGCACTTATAATGCTTTGTAACTTGGTAACAATGCTTTATAAGCATATTTATAAACTCTATTAATACTTTCTAAGGTCCTATAATTAATTCTTTGGCGACTTATAAACATGTAGTAACACGCTTATAAGTCAAGCGTCAAATGTCCATTCAATTGTAATGCCTTTTAAATGGATAATAACCTGTAGTTAATTATAAAGCGCTTATAATATTTATTAAGTGTTATAACTAAAACATTGATCACTTTACTTGAAGCAGATAGTGATGGCATTTTAAATGTTTATAATGTTTTTCTAACTGTTAATATGTATTATTTGTACTTTATAGTTATGTACAGGTTATCATCTGTTTAAAAACATAAACACTCAGAATACCTGTGTAGGTTTACTGGCTATTTTGCATAGTAAATAGGCTGTATTTGCGTTGTAGACATCATGACTCCTGGTTCCTATCACCACCACTGGGAAATCCCAGTTACTCTACAATTAAACATTTCGCATCAAACCACTCTGAATGACTATCTACGTCTCAAGGATTGAACTCTTCAGACGTTTTGACAAATTAGTGGAATTTACCTTCATGTTCTTGGTGATTCTAATGCAGTTTGACTGCAGCTTTAATTAGATCCTTCTAAGTCCTCCATTCATATTATCCTAAAAGCTTCATGAGCTCAGTCAAGTATAATAAATAAAAACTATTTGAGTGTCACTGAATGCAAAGACATTGTGAAAAGACAAAAAACAGCTGTTATAAAATGCATGCAGCGTGAATATCTGCTTCTGCCTCTGTCCGTGCCTCACCGCTTGAGGCGTGTGTCTGTCTACTGTCAATGCAAGAAATCATGGATTTCAAAGACATTTTCCTCTTATTTAAGTAGACTCTTCTGAACTTGGTTCTAAGAACAGGCCTCTTGAAATTAATATTTTTGTGAGCCATGATGTGTGTAGTCAAAATATCCCTCATTTCTTTACTTTACAATGGCATCCAGTGACATTTGTTCCTGTTCACATGGGTTAATTTTTAAATTGTGTTCAGCACTAAATTCGGATATGAAATGCCTAAATAAGCAACACCATACATCCAAGAAAGAAGAGCAGCTGCAAGAAGCATGAGGAGTTCTGTAGTTTAATAAGAGCTTTTGTCCAGATGGAACTGTGTAAGATTTTTTTTTCTGCAGTGCCATAGAAGAAACACTTTTGGTCTATAGGGATATGAGATGTATTGGTGTGAAGAACCTTTAGACAATTTAAATATTGTAAAGGTTCTTGGAAGACCTGTTAAATTGGTATAGAACCGTCACATATTGTAGAGGTTTTGTACCAATTTAATTGTTCTTCCAAGAACCTTTACATTATGTGTAGCTTCTTTAAGCCTTCAAAAAGGTTCTTCACACTCATATGACTTCAATCATGTTTCTTTAGGGAACCAAAAGTGGTTCTTCTATTGAATATCTTAAAGAAAGTTTTATGGCACTATTATTTATAAGAGTGTACGGACACCGTTGTTGGGTATGGACAGTAGAAAGTTGCTTTCGCCCTGTTGATTGGCCTGCCGCTTCTAATTTGCATAAAGTTGAAACCAGCTCAGCTTTTCTCACCAGTCACTCACGATACCACAATCTTTTGCAAGTTTTGGGTAACAAATTCACATGTACTGTAAAAGTACTGCACTGCAAACCATTGGAATATTCTGGAAAAAACTTAGTTAACTTGGTTAAACTACTGACAGTTGTTGGCAAAATATTTTTATTGAAACCTATAAGAAGCAATGTTTGCTACCATACATTTGGCCCATAATGTATGTTTCACAAATTCAAGTTAAACAAACAGACTGATTTGCAAAAATAGCCATAGAATCATTTTCCTAGGTCTGGATAAACATAAACATCCTGTCAGGTTGTGCAATCACTTTGGTGGCTGATTTGGAGCGGCTCCCAGATTTGATGAATAATGTAATAATATTTGCCTCGTGAGAGCCGGTCGATGGGACAGACGATAAGATGATACACCAGTGTTTGTCCTTATTTCCTACAGAAACATGACGGGCAGTTCACCATAATCCAGCTGGTGGGGATGATGCGAGGAATCGCCTCGGGGATGAAGTACCTGTCGGACATGAACTACGTCCACCGCGACCTGGCCGCTCGCAACATCCTGGTCAACAGCAACCTCGTGTGTAAGGTGTCAGATTTCGGCCTGTCCCGGGTGCTGGAGGACGACCCCGAAGCTGCCTACACTACAAGGGTAGGCCACCTGGACCATATGCCCACTTTACAAGGCAGCGTGTAGCAAAGATTTATTAATTACATTAGAAGACGTCCTGCATCATTTGGTCCCTGTTTTTTTTTTCATTGTTTTGCAAATTTAAGAGATTATTTGGCGAAATCTAATGTACACCGTGTTCCCCTTACCCCGATTGAAGTCAGTCAGCCAAGACAAGTTTGGTATCTGAAATTTGTCGAGGCTAATGAAGCTAACAAGCTTATACTCTGCAAAAAATTGTTAAAAGTACATTGCACAGTTAGTACTATCCACCTTGAAGCCTGACTTTTGTCTGCACTTCTGCCAGCTTTTATAAATAGCAGTGTGTCACCATATAAACAGTATAAACTGTATTTGCTCTTTGAGGCAAGTGAGTCGGAAAACTAGAGATAGAGAGTGAAGGTTTGTGTAAAGAATGTAAAGAGAAAAGTGTGTGTGTGTGTGTGTGTGTGTGTGTGGCTGTGTGTGTGCGTGTGTGTGTGTGAGGTTGAGAGTGAGCAGGCATGCTGCTGGGTGAGTGCGCAGTTGGCTTTTTCTTGCTCGGGGGTCAGCATTCTTCTCCTCCAGTTGTGTGTTAATTACATCTTTGTGTGAGAGGAAGATGCCCCATCCGTGCCCCCTGCTGTACCGCTTCATATCTCTGACGTATCCTCCAGTCCTTTCTCTCGCACTCTCCCTCTCCCTCTCCCCGTCTCTCTACCCATCATTAGCTGGGCATCCCGTAGGCCTGCAGTAGACAAGGCCATGTACACTCAGGTGTGCAAAGCATCGATCAGCAGGAGAGCCAATTACACTGCTGAGCAGGGAGGAAAGTGCTTCCCCCAGGACTGAAAAGACCCAACAGCATATAGGCTATGTGTGAACCTGACCAAAGCCGGACAGAATTCTGTCTTAACTCACTTGTTGCCTGACAGAATTTTGTATGAATTCATCGGTTGCCCGACAAATCTCTATCTGAACCCGACAACAGATGGTCAGAGTTCTGTCTGAACTGACTGTATCCCAGCACAGTTCTCTCTGAACCACACTGCAGACCATCAGAAATCTTTCTGAAATAGACTGTAGCCAACAGTACAATACTATCTGAACCTGACAAATCCGACCAGACAAAACTCTCTGTAGCCATCTGTAGCTCAATAAAATTATATCAAAACCCAAACAGCCCAACAGAATTCTGTCAAAAACTGTAGTCTGACAAAATTTTGTCTAAATCTTAACTGTAGCCTGAGAAAATTCAGTCTAAATCTGACTATAACCTACTAAATTGTGACTACAAAATTGTAAATCTGACTGTAGCTTGTGAAAATTCTGACTAAATTGGACTACGACCTGACAAAATTCTAAATCTGATTGTAGCTTGACAACATTTGAACTAAATATGACTACAACCTGAAAAAATTCTGTCTAATCGGACTGTAGCCTGACAAAATCCTGTCTAATCAGACTGTAGCCTGAAACAATTCTTTCTAAATCTGACTGTAGCCTGACAAAATTCTATCTTACTCTGACTGTGGCCTGACAAAATTTTGTCTAAATCTTAACTGTAGCCTGACAACATAGTGCCTGAATCTGACTATAGCCTGAGAAAATTCTGTCTAAATCTGACTACAACCTGACAAAATTCTAAATCTGACTGTAGCCTGACAAAATTCTGACTAAATCTGACTACAACCTGACGAAATTCTGTCTAATTGGACTGTAGCCTGAAAAAATTCTGTCTTAATCTAACACCATTTGAAGACTGATTAAAATTTTACGATAGCACCTGCAAATTTACCCTAGCAAAAATGGTAAGTTTCCTAGTGGCAGACAAGTCGTTAATAAACAAAACTCAAAAAATAAATAGCCTAATTATCAGCTATCCAAAAAAAAATCACCTCCACTACAGCCTAACAACAGCATCTCAAAGCTTTTAGTCTGCATAAATGTACATATTTTTTTCTAATGCTAGTCTTAATAGACGTTACCGTCAGATTAAAATGAGTTAAGGTAATAAAAGTAAGGAGGAAAAAGTATAGCAGAGAGAAAAATTGTGGGAAGTGAAATTTGAACCTGACTCCAGCCCAATAAACTCTTGAGAGGGAGCTAATGTCCAAAGCCAAGCGAATAGTTGGGTCCTGTTGTGTTCTGAGAATGTTTCATGCTTTAATGTGGGGTGTGTAGTGTAGTGTAGGGTAGTGTTGTGTGTGGGGACCCTAAGTGGCTCCCATGTTCTACTCCCCAGTTTTCCATCGCTTCAAGCGCTGAAGTCATGGAAGCACAGTGCTGGCCAAGCCACATTTATGTGCCGTGACTTTGATAGGAAATATAATTAAATAACTGTAAAGATTGCTTTTTAAAAGCCTATTTGAACAGCTTCACCCGCACTGGCCCCCCGGCCTGCTCTTTGGCTCTCTCCTCACGTCCATCTACATAGAGTGGAACCAGTTTGCCTTTTGTTTGACTTTGAGTGCGGAGATTAGCCACCGAGGACCGCAGCGTTTTTAACGGTGCTGCTGCGGAGAGGAGGAAAAAAAACCTCCTCGTTCTTTGATCCTGATTCTGCTTATCAACAACAAAGCCAAAGAGACAAACGTGAAGGCAGAGGAGAATGTGGATAGCGTTTAAAGGGTGGGTGCTATTTGTACAAGGAGACTTTCACTGACGCCCGATTTTCTTTCGTTTCATTGCTGTAGGGTGGGAAAATCCCAATCCGATGGACGGCACCAGAAGCCATCGCCTACAGGAAGTTTACCTCGGCCTCAGACGTGTGGAGCTACGGCATCGTCATGTGGGAGGTGATGTCATATGGAGAGCGGCCGTACTGGGAGATGTCCAATCAAGATGTGAGTGGTATATTTATTGTGGATACCTGTTGTAGATGTTTTGCGTTTAGTCTGAACAGTTTTACATGAACTGTGTTATTTATCTCTTAGAATTATACAGGATGTTTCTGTTACTGGGCTTTAAGACATGATATGACATGAATTGAGCTCTGTTCTGATTGGCTGCCCTGTATTGTACCTCATTCAAAAAGCAGTCCAAGCTGAAACACTTACTTATAACAAAGTGTTTTTGCAGCTTTAAATATGAAGTCCTGTATGCCTGGTTGCCACTTTTACTCCTACCACTTAGATGTTTCACAGGGATATCTAAAACATTGTTTCAGAGGGATGTCACTCAGGGAGTGAGAGGGAGGGATGGCTACATTCGGCCCGTGAGACAGCTTCATACAGCCCATCACTTGTTTAGAGTTTATCTTTAGATACACCCCATGTTTTTCTGTGGCCAAATATTTACATCTGATGGACATATTTGCTTTACCATGTTACGTGTGGCTGGTTACCCACCATAAGCTACATAAAATCAGCTTGGCAAATATCGAGTGCTACATGCAAAAGGAACCATTCACACAAAAATCTAACACTGCATGGCTGCTGCACACTGAGCTGGTGTGACTGTAAATTAGCTAAAACTAACTTGATTATTATTCTACTTTAGACTGATAAATCTGCATTTGTAGATTCATTGCCAGAATGGTAGATACAGCATTTAGAATTAAGAAATGAATGGAATTATTAAACAAATCCACTGAGAACACAGAATTAACTTTCTTCTGCCAGCACTTCATTCCCAATAGCACATTCAACAGGAACAGTAATGCAGTCAAAATGAGAGTCCCATATAAATCTACAGTCAAAGTAACATACTATTAGTAGTAGTGGGAGTAATAATAGTTGTGGTGTTTGGTGACTGAAGAATTACTAATAACACTGACTAAGATGCACTTAAATGAGTGTATATGAAGTTAAAATTTATATTTGGGAAAAAACATGGAACACTTTTTTCCCTGCATTTGTTCAGCCGGCCCCTCTTCGAGAAGATCATCTAGCAGGGTGCTCCCAGGTTATCTGAGTTTGAGACCCCTGGCCCTCACCATGCACATACCAAGCGATCTAGCTAGCTAGCTAGGTCCATTTACATGTGATGTGCTAAACAAATTTGGAATGAAGACTGAGTTAAAGAAAAAATTGAAGTATACATCTTTAAAATTTAGTGGAATTACCAGTGTAGTCAAATCAGATTTCAAGTAGCTCTCACTTTTTGTCCCAGTGTAAACTCCTTTTTTTCCTCTATCTCTGTCTCGCTCTGTCAGGTGATAAAGGCAATAGATGAAGGCTACAGGCTGCCGGCTCCCATGGACTGCCCTGTGGTGCTCCACCAGCTGATGCTGGACTGCTGGGAGAAGAGCCGCAGTGAGAGGCCCAAATTTGGGCAGATTGTCAACACCCTGGACAAGCTGATCCGCAACCCCAACAGCCTGAAGGAGCTGGCCAACAGCTCCATATGGTAAACCACCACTTAGACAAGCTCTTCACCAGTGACTGAGCTGCCTCTGAAAAATTGCAGTCTCATTTATGTGACAGTTTAATGATAAGGTTAGGAAAAAAAACAGTTATCGTTAATTAAGCTCAGGGAAAATAAGAAATGTTCTTCTCTGTTGTTCCTGTTAATGTTTTTGACTCCCCCAATCACACAATACTATCAACGCTAGGAGGGTGAAGGCTAACACAGGCTTCCTCCGAATCCTTTTCGAACTGCTGCCATTGCAACGTCATTGGACAGAATGGGGGCCCATCCTACCCACCCAGAGAGCGAGGCCAATTGTGCTTTCTTGGACTCCCAGCTACAGATGGCTGTAGCATCACCAGGGATCGAACTCGCGATCTCTTGATAATAGGGCCAGCGCTTAGATGGTTGCACCACTGGGGAGCCTGTTTCTGTTAATGTTTAAGTTGTTTATATAGTTCAGTACAAAATCAAATTTACATAATTTCTTTCTTATCTCTTTCATTCTTTTCTTTCTTTCTTTCTTTCTTTCTTTCTTTCTAATGTAGTGGCTCAGCCAAGACATATTTAATGTCTGAAGTTAGCTTCTTTAGTTTTAGACTGAAGCTAGTATAAAGCTTGTACCTTATCTTATAAATCTTATTAATAAGCCTATAGCTCCGATTAAATAGCTCAGATTAAATTGCGTTGAAACGGTTCCATTAAAGAGAAATTTGACTGATTTTAAAATTTCTGCATAACGATGTCAGGCAAACAACAAATGATCCTCCACAGGTCTTTATGTTATGTTACTAACAGTAAAATAATGGTTAATCTAAACAAGTATATTTTCTTTGGATACTGTTTTCTATTTGGCACTAAAACACCCTGCTTGTACTTGTCCACCATGAATGGATTTTAAAAGAAAATATGTTTTATGCCATACATAATGCAAGATGTTCATAACCGTTTCATGTAATAACTTTCTGTGATGTAGCTTTTAGAGGCATTAAACTCTTAGACTGGTTCCTATTACCACCATGGTGGACTTCTGAAGTTTCTCTAGAGTGGAGCATTTCACATCAAACCACTCTGAATGACTTTGTTTACATATCAACCATTTAATTCTGCAGAAATTTTTAAAAATCAGTGGAATTTCCCTCTTAATTTCCCTTTAAGCTGAAAGTCATCTTTTTTAGTCTACAGTTCTGTAATGTTCCTCCCTGAGCTGGCACTGATAATAGGTCTTTGTTAGTGTATTTCGCTTACGTGCAAAACTTGTAGTCAAAATCCCAGCAGAGCTCAGAACAGTGTTATATCTGATGTCAGGTAGACTGCAGGTTGACTCCTTATTGCTGTGGTGTCGATCAGGAGTGTGTGGGAGGGAGAGAAAGCCCAGATTACCTCAGTAAGCTTCCATACACAGTCCAAACCCATCAGAGTCATATCCAAGGCCAGCCGAAGCTGCCGTTTGATTCTGCTGTCCCCAGCAATCGCAGAGAGGAGAGGATTAGCAAAGAGTGAAATGGCTACTACGACTGGGGCGAAGGTTATTCTCTGTTTTCAACCACTGCTGTCACTCTGAAAGAAAGAAGCTTTCCTTTTTTAACTCACGCAACTGTTAGTACCTTAGAGGTGGGTTTTCTGGACAGGGGATAAGCCTAATCCTGGACTACACAGCACTCCGAATGAAGATTTTCTGTTGTAAAGAAGATGTAGTCCTGGACTAGGCTTAATTCCTGTTTGGGATATTGACCCTCAGAGTTTTTCTTCAGGACCTCAGAACAGCATAGAAAAGCAAAGTAGTGCAATGTCTTTCAGCCAGTTAAAGTGATTTACACAATTTTACCCCAAATGTAGTCAAATATGTGAGATTTAGTTGTTGTTTGAAGCTTACTTCTTTTGTTTTATACTGGAGCTACAAGGCTAATGTAGTTAAAAGTAATGGAGGCTTAAGTCAGTTAACGTTATGCAAACTGCATGTCTAAATTATCACTACATTGTCTCATGTTATTAAAGGGAATTCCAAAGACTATTCTAAATTTCTACACAGATTAGTTGCTGAGATGTGAACAAAGTGGTTTAATGTAAAATGGTGCATTGTAGAGAAACTTAGATTTCTTTACAGTGGTGGTGATATTTAGTAATAAATAAAAATAAATGTTTTCTTTGGGCCTTCCGCCCAGTGACTGGTGGGATAGGCTCCAGTTCCCTCCACGACCCAGAAGGATAAGCGGCTAAAATGTGTGTGTGTGTGTTTTCTTTGCGGATTATTTTGCCTTATACCATCTTGCGTGTTTCTTCCAGCCATGAATGGATTAAAACATTTACATTCTAGGTCAAACCAAGTCAAAACTATTGTAAACAAGCACCTAAGGAATCAGGCAGTATATTTGTAACCATTTCATGTGAGGTAGCATTAAACTCTTTTGACGTCTGGTTCCAGTAGCTACCATTATGAACAATTCTGACTTGGTAATTTTCTCTGCAATGGAGCATTTTACATAAACCATTTTGAAAAAGTTTTCATCTGATTTAATTATGCTGAAATTTGAAATATTGGTGGAATTCCCCTTTATGTAATAACATGCTGTTATTTATAAAGTATGTATGAAAATTGTCAAAATAGACATAGTTTGAGGCAGCTGTGGGATGATATGCTTTATATATATTTTACATGTACATGCTGCTGCCAGCTGCAGCCTGACAGCTGCTCTCAAAGAAAGATCAAGTCTTAGACTGACGTGCATTTGACATAATCAGCTCTATATGCCACACCAGTATATTAAATTCCTCAGCAGTACTACACGCAGGACAGATTGGACACATTTCACAGATTTTGCATTTTGAGTGATGTACAAAGACTCTTGATGAAACTCTCTGGTTCTTTTGTTGCTTATCTGTTTCATAACAAACAAGCTGGCATGGCCTAAATCATGAAATTCTTTTGCAGGGAAGATCCAACAACCCCAGAGTTCAGTGTCAGTTCTGTGGATGAGTGGCTAGATGCTATCAAGATGGGCCAATACAAGGACAACTTCTCCTCCGCTGGATACGTCACGTTAGATTCAGTACTCTACATCAGTTTAAGGTATGGAACAAATGTGATGCCCAGTTGTTTCAGGATCATGTATTATTAAATCCACGCTAGTGTGTTCAACATACACGTTTACCAGCTGTCGTCTATTCAATTTCCAGTCAAAACAGCTATTAAGTACAAGTTGTTGTCAGAAAAATCTTGAAACATTCATACAACGGAAAATAACATAAAAGCCTCAACAACTAAATATAATATCGAATCTATCAGTATTTCACACAAGCATTTACCCAGACTCACCTCAACTGTCTTCAGATTTATTTCTGATATACATCTAGAATGGCTTAAGTAGATATTTTAGGGGAGATTAGATATCATACAGGTGGGGAAAGTCAAAGGAAAATAAGTGAAGAAATGGGAGTTTCCAAAAACTAGAGTTCAAAACAACATTAAGAGATAGATATAAGACCAAAACCATCAGATAAACAGAGGAGAAAATCAAGCTCCACTTACTTCAGATCTAAAAAAAATGGTCTTTCTGTTCGTCTTTCCACTGTTAGAAGACAGCTCAACGCTATGGGGCTGAAAGGATGTGTGGCAGTCAAGAATCTATGACTGAGAAATGAAAATAGACAAAAAGTAGGCAAATTTGCTCTAGAACACTGAGATGTGGAGTAAGATTTTATGGTCTGATGAAAAATTTAATTACTTGGATTGTGAGCAGTAGAAAATGCAACCAACTGCTAAGACTGAACTTTGGAAGTATGGAAAAATATCCCTGCAGATTTCTTTGAAAAACTGAAAGCAAATCTTTGGGAAAGAGTGGAAGTTGTAATAAAGGCAAAAAGTGGGCATATTAAGTACTGAAAACTTCATATTATAGATTAGTAGTTGAGGCTTCTGTGTAATTTTCTGTCAAGGGAGGCCTGTTGCACAGTACAGTGCAGTTTAAGAAATTGCTGATTGCTTTATCATCTAATATCAGGGCTTGTATTCATTAAACTTCTAAGATCAGATTCTTCTCCAATAGACGCTTTTCACAAGAAACGGAAGTGCGTAAACACTGGGTATAACAGGTTCCGCTACTGCCTTATGGACAGTTACTAACCTCAGAAATAGAGGCATTCATATTACTTCAGCTCGCCACAGAAAGGTGTGACTAAATAAAGGATGTAAATGCTTTGTGGAAAAATTCCTTCACAGCTACCAGGCTACAGTAATGTCAGCTAACTTCAGAGTGATAAATCAATGGGTAGGTGAAAATAACCAAAACGCAAGAGAAGTCATGTTAGCTGGAGATGTTGAAACAGCTCACTGATAATTAACTAGATGGCAAAAAGCTAAACACGCGCAAATTACATCTGTAGTGCTTCTGTAGTCATTTTACACAACCACCGGCTCCAGTGAACGAACATCAACTCCTAGCCCAGTACTCGCTCTCCCAGATACTGGCAGAGAAAATAAAAACTGTTCCACTGAAAGTGGCTGCAGCAGCAACTTTGAAGCACAAACTGCATTGGGTGTAACATTAGCAGCGGTGAAATGCTGACCCAGAAGTTCTTTTCCTCCATATGACAAAGTTTATGCCTTTGTTAATTACACAAACCCGTTTTCTTCTGCTGATTGTCAGCTAACAAACCACTGAAACTGAGAGGCTGTTTTTGCTTGAAACTCGAACACTTGAGTGAGCTGTACATGCTCTACTTATCAGCCAAGTTATTGTTCTTGCTTTAGCACAAGCAGCGTTACCCTGCAACACGTACTCCCAGCAGAAAACATGTGGAAATGTGAAAAGGGCCTATTTCCGATGATCTGACAGGAACAGATTATAGATCAGCTGTCCTACTCAAGGAGTTTGGACCATGATTGTTGACTGTTGTTTAGAAATCAGATATTAGTAAGCCACGTAAACTACACAGTTGAATCCTGTATGTTTAATATGAGGCACCAACGCAACCGCTGTATATACAGTGAGTTTACCAGTGCTTTGCATGGGGGCTATATGACCAATCACAACACTTTAAAGCCTAATTTCTCTCATTCTCTGTCTTTCTCCCAAACCCCCGATTCTCACTATCCCCCCCTGCAGCGAGTTGAGTAAAATGGGCGTGACTCTTGTGGGACACCAGAAGAAAATCCTCTCCAGCGTCCAGGGTCTGCACGCCCAGGGCAGCCACGTGCAGGTATAACACAGCCCCAGAGTGGACAGACTGACTGACAGACAGAGAAGGAGAGAGAGAAAGAGAGAGCGAGAGAGCTAAAGCCAGGACAGCTGCTCTCAGAACAGTCCCCGATCAGCAGCTTCACCATATCAACCCCCATCTTTGGACGATTGGAGCGCCGCTCCAGCCTGCGGTGCAGAGACTGACCTGCCGTGGGCAACGTGGACAGAATGGACGCTCACCAAATGCAGAGAATACTAACTTTAAAAAACGCATAGATGATTTAACGACCACCGTTTTGTGAAGTGTACAGTCATTTTGCATCGTCTTTTGCATTCTTTGTGTTGTCGTTCGCTACCTGTTCGAGGCTTGATTTAGCTTGTGAAGTGCATAAAGAGGTGCCTGATAATAGCTGGAGTGGATTTGGACCTAAGGTTAGTGCAATCGGAGCCTACCTCAGTTATAGGTATGCCAGCCATTCTTCTAGAAAATGACCGAAGCGGATCAGTGTGAGTGATCTACAGCATCAGTTGTCCATTTGTGTGGCCGTATGATGTTTGCTCAGGCTGGCCATTTCATTTTTGTACAGTGATGATTATATATCATCCTCCCCAGCAGCAAACAGATGAGCTTTCTATTTGGTTTCCCTATCTAGCAGCAATAGGAGCTTGTGTTTCACCAGCGGAAATAGAGCTAGCACTCGACTGGAAATGCGATCGCGGCCGAGACGATGGAGAAATTACACAAGGCTGTGTTCGGAGGGCGTATGAGGACACAATGAGAGCAACACTGCTGTATTATATTTAGTTAGCTGAGTAATGGCTGTGTTTTCACTCACGACAGCAGCAATCATGTTTTTTTCCTTTACTGTGATTAACAGAATGTTGGATTTCTTTCTTTTTTCGTCATTCTCTTGGTGATATCTTGACCTCCAGTATTGTCTTTAAACATCACGAGGAAGTGCTTGGATCTAAAAACAGAGACTATTTGTTGTTTTTCCCCCATTTCATTTCTCTCTGGCTGCAGTAAAGCAGGACGTGTCCATTTGTGTATGCATGGTGGACACAAATTCTTAATTCTTCGCCTAAATATGCTCTTTCCATGAATTAAAAGACATTTTTAACAAAGGTCCTCTGGTTAGCAAGCTAGCCCACACCTGTAGCTTCATGGCTAGCGTCTAATTAATGCATGGCTACGTTTACGTGAGCATTGTGCAAATCCATAGACAAGAAGTAGGCGAGCGTGATGTTAGCATTATGCAGAAGACAGTAAAAAGGAATAGCATAGACGTCCACCGTGTCTCTGTCACCTTTATGTTTACGACCGTGCTATCATGCTAACCCTGGAAAGACAAACGCAACACATACTATTGTACCATAGTGTAAAAAAGTGTACAGTATTGATTTCGAATGATCAAACTTAAAGAAGAACCTCTAGAATGTTTGTAACGATGTACTTTTATTTAGTTTTTGAAGAGACAAAAGAAGACGCGAGACATAGCGCTTAGCGGGGTCGGGGATAACAGGCGAACCTCTGGAATGTAGCATGGATAACTCAAGCTTCGTCTTTGACTGACAAGTGAAAGTGACTGCAGTTCTTTCTAATTCACTCAAGTGGTGGCTGTAGCTGCTTGACTTTAGATGCCTTATTAACTGTGCTGTTTCTTTCTCTTCTCTTCTTCCCGGTAGAGGCAGTATCATGAGATATTATTGTACATAGTATTTATCATGGCGTCACTGAAGACTATTGCTCAGTAGTAAAGCCTGGCTCAACACATTTACCGTCGTGCAAGGTTGTTTTAACCACAGTATTCATCCAGCAAGCTTGTGTTGGTGCATGTGGCTTTGGGATAAAGAGCGCGATTCGATTGATCAAACCTACAATGCTGAATAAAAGTCCTGATGCTAATTTTGCTGCAAGTCAGTTACTACACTACTATTTTTGTACCAGTCGTTCTGTATAGTAGGTTTGGTTTCATTTAAGCATACAGAAATCAAAGGCAGATTTCTTAGATTATTCGTAAAGTCCTTCAGCCTTCAGCACATATTGAACCTTTTTCCATTTTCCATTGCTTTTTAACAGCTTTGGAAAAATCCAGCTTTGACCAACTTTTGGTAGTGTCTGCTTTCAGATGATCTAAGCTGGTCTTGATGGCCATTAGTTGGGTTCTTCATGGTCTGAGATGGTCAAGGTGGCCAACAAGCTCAATATCCACTTGGACTAGGTGAGAACACACCACATGCTGGTCAACTGGTTAAGCTGTTTGGCTTGGTCAAGCTGGTTATGCTGTTTAACCCTCAAACCTAAACGAAAACATACCCTGTACTGGTCAACCAGCTTGACCAGTTTGTTTCTCCAGCAGGGTAGTTATTCCTTATTTGTAGTTAAATATAGATCCATATATTCTATATATGATTCAAAGCATTATCTTTCTCCTGCACTAATGTTCATAAATACTGTTTTCCAGTTCATTGAATGTTCATTATCACCTGATTTTATGAGATTACTGATGTTGTGTGTATTTTGCTGGAACATTAGCATAAAACAATTGAATTCTTGGAAGCAGCACGTTATATTTATAATTAGGGTAAACAAGTCCAGCTTTTAGTACTGAAGTTATTCATTAATGGAAACAAAGGATTCACTCTGATATATATGAAATAGTTTCTTTCATTTGTTCTCAAGTGTTTTGCCCATGCACAGATTAACACGAAGTGTACACGTATTGTAAAGTTATATTGATATGCTGAGATAAATTCATCTGTTCCAGCTCTAAATCTCTTAATGAATTGTATTAACTGTTTCTGCGAGTGACACAGCAAGACACAAAATGCAATATTCATCTTTCAAAGCCCAGCAGGTTCATTTTTAATAATCGTTTCACACCTCTGCAGCGGAATGCTACTGCTTCAGATTCTCTCGCATGACTCGGATGGATTATGATGTGAACGTTTGGGAAAATGGACGGCTGTAGAGGCACTATTGACCCTTATTTCAAAAAAAAAAAAGTACAAAGACAAGATATTTAATATTTTACATTATGAACTTCATTTTATTTTTGTAAATATGTGCTCATTCAGAAATTAATGCCTCCAACATGTTCCAAAATATTTGGGACCAGGGCAGTCTAGAGACTAGAAACCTTGTGAAATGTTAAAAACATCTCAAACAGGTGATGTTTGTGTATAAAAGGAGCATCTAGGAAAGGCCTGAGCAAGCATGGGTCGAGGCTTAACACTTCACTTGCAAAATGCATCAGAATAGTGTTTGTCAATGAGCGATTCCAAAGATTTTAGTTACTTCACCCGGTACGGTGCATAATATCATCAAAAGATTCAGGGAGTCCAGAGAACTATATGTGTATAAAGACACAGGCCGAAAACCACAACTGAATGCCCGTAACCTTCGATCCCTCAGATGGCACTGCGTTATAAACTGGCGTGCTTCTGTCATGGATACCACCACATGGGCTGTTGTGAGTTAGCACCATTTAATGCTGCATCCACAAATGCAAGTCACGACTGGATTGATGCACTGTGGAAAAGTGTATTGTGTTCTAACGAGTCAGTATTTTAGATTGTGTATGGAAATAATGAATGTCATGTTCTCTGGGCCAAAGAAGAAAAGGAACACCCAGATTGTTACCAGTGTAAAGTTCAAAAGTCGCCGTGTGTCAGGGTATGGGCCTGTATGAGGGTCCGTGGCTCGGGTAACTCGCATATCTGTGACGGCACTATTAATGGTGAAAAATACATAGACATTTTGGAGCAACTTATGCTGCCTTCTAGACAACGTCTTTTTCGGAAACTTCCATGCATCAGCAAGCCACATTCTACATGCATTACAAAAAATGTATATGTCGAGACAACAAAGGCCTAGTACGGTCACCCATCTGAATATTTGTATAACATTAGAATAGCAAATTCTGCTTTGACCACTGGATCAATTGGTGTCTTCAGTCCTCAGACAAATTGAAGGGAAAGGTGACGTTACACAATAGTAAATATCAGCATGCTCCTGTTCCATCTTTTTTGAACATGTTGCAGGCATCAAGTTTGAAATGAAACATATAATTACAAAAAAAAAACATAAACAGTTCAAAAGTTCATAAGGTAAAAGATCATATCGCTGCTGTCGGAACCAAACCTAGTATCTCCAAAACGATAACTCTACAGGAGCAGGAAAAAACATACTTTACTTTTAATGTAAGTCAATGGAACCAGACTTTTTTCCAGGTCATTTTGGGGCATTTCTTTTGGTCCATTCATCATGAAATTTACACACAACGTAAAGGGCAACAGTCATTTTTAAATGATGTCAAAACTGAAAAAAAAATGGAGATACGAAGTTTTGTACCGACAGCAGCGATATATTGTGTTTTACATGCTTTCAATTGAATACAAACAGGGTCAAACAGAATTTACTAATCACTGCTTTCTGTTTATATTAGCATTTCACATAACATTTGAGGTTAAAATGTGATAAACTTTCATTACCCTTCCACTGCAACGCATTGTAAAAAGAGTGACCACACTGATAGATTTCCAAATGTGATTAAAGAAAAAACGCATTAAAATGAATGTTTGACTAAACCGTGTTAGTCAGGATGCTGAAAATGGTAATTGTGATGTAAAGTAGATGAATCATGTTTTGGAATTGTCCATAAATCGGCTCTAAGGCGGAAGGGCATGTCCCTTCCTCGGACCTGTATCTGTGAATGTGTTTTGGCTGGTCCTTTGTGAGACGGTCTCTGTTCTCTATGTAAATGTCCTTTCATCATTGCAGCTTTCCTCAGCTCTCTATCCAGCTTGCTGCAAGGGTGTGTCCCCTGAGCCTCTTCATGTTGCTGTAATAAATATGCTGATATTTTTTATTTCACACCACAAGCCTTGGCCTCTCACTTGTGTTCGACTGTCTGTCATGCCAAAAATGCATTATTCATAATTGATGACTTACATGTATAAACTTGTATGAGATTCCATTCGGCTTAATTCAAGTTTATGACCACAAATCTAAAACAAATATTACATTAACAGATACAACTAAAGTCAGCCATTGTTTATTTCATTTCCAGTTAGAGTGTCCATTAAGTACTCTTTATTGAATTTTCCGGAGATATTTTTCAGGAGATCAATCAAGCTCTTGCTTTAGACCTAAAAGCACCTCCACAGGTGTTTCTGTCCATCCTTCCACTGTGAGAAGACAGCTTAACAGTATGAGTCTGAAAGGATGTGAACTGAGAAAAGGACATAGATAAAAAGCAAGAAAATTTCGTAACTGAAACAAAAGAAGCTGCCGATGATCTCAGAACAATGGACTGACCACCCCAGAGTCCTGACCTCAACATCTCTGGAAGAGTTTGATTACCTGGATCGTGAGAACGGAAAATGCAACGAACTTCTAACACTGAATATTGGAGGTATGGGATAATATTCCAGCAGATTAGTTTGAAAAGCAAAGTCTCCTGAAAAAGTTTGCGTTCGGAGCCACTTTTCCTAATAATTATCCACTTATCAGGTGAACTCAAAAGTTTGGAATCACTTATATTATTATTGTTTCTTATATTATCTCATTATAGTCTGACATAT